CTCTGTCTTCTAGCGACCACTTGTGCCCTGCTAAGTTATGCCGTCCAGCCGAGTCTTTTTCACCCGCTGGAGCGGCCTGTCATCTATATTGCTGGTTGCCAACTAGCCTACGCGCTGGGATTTGCTCTACGTTTGAAGCTGGGTCGAGAGGTGGTGGCCTGCGGAGTGGATCCGGCCTCTGGGTACAGTATTCGCTTGCAGGAAGGCCTAGAAAACTCCAACTGTGCTCTGGTCTTCCTCATACAGTACTACTTTTTCATTGCTGGAGCAATATGGTGGGCAATGATGGTCATTGGCTGGACCAGACGTACCTCTTATGCATATCGTCTAATGCATAACCCTTGCCGGGACTCGGCTAGCGCCTACGTACCCCCAAAAAGCCCCTGTTGCTGTCTTGGCCGCTCAACACTCGGTGAAACACCGTCCGTATTTGGGGAAGCTGGTGCTTACATGGACGCTAAATCAGGAGCCGAGGCCAACAGATCGCATGGTCCCCCGAGCGGTGTTAATCCCGCTGCCGTGGGCCCCAGTGGCGGTGCGCAGCCAGCGACCACGAGTTCCCTCCGCGCCTCTCATGTTAATCGACGTATCCAGACTGCCAGTTCGAACAGCATTGATCTCAACTGCCTGGCCAAGGAGCACGTGATTGCATGGCTCACCCCTGGACTTCTCACAGTGGCGGTCCTTGTCACTCGTCAGGTAAGCAGCGCATACGCGCATGCACATTTACTCATTTATATTTGATGCACAGTTGGCAGCATAGAATTTACGTTATACCATTGGGGGAGGGGGTGTGTGGAAGAGGAGGCTATGGGTTATTTTCATCTTGCAGACGCATAACGCCCGACCAGTAGCAACCGAGGCTGTCGCACGTAATTACTCATGCGGGTTTGGTTCAACCATAAACACCTGTCAGCGCTGCAAAGACCGTGTCACGGTACTGCCATTGCTGCCATGGGGACGAGTCGGCAATCATTAGTGGAGGCCAGGGTTGGTTATGAGGGGGTGGGTCGCAGGGATCGAAAAGGACGAAGAACGCTTACAGGGCGTGGTATCTTATAATTTATATCAAGTGCGAAATAGTTGAGGGCCTCCTGTTTACTGTTATAACGAATCCACCAACAGCTTAGCACAAGGCCATTCCTATTAGTAGAACGAAACTTGTTTTGGGAGTCAGCAGGAAAAGACAGACCGCTCTCGAGTGCCCCATAGGATTCATTTCTGACGCCTAGTAGGCATATTCGTCCAGAATTTAAGAAAATATTTCTCATCGCCTGCAAACGTGCGATCTTTGACGCTATAAATCGATTTTACCAACTACTTAAGTCGAGTTTCGGGCAAGTAGGTAGTCTACAGCCGGCCCCTATTGTCCACTTTTCATGCGTCTAATGTACGAGCGCACTAGCAATCTCGATGCTGCCTGGAAGAACTTTGAGGAGGTTCTGGCTGGAATGGCTTATTTCCTCCTCCCACAGAACGGTATTTCCTGCAATGATTGGCACATGACATACGTTGGCCGAGCTGCGGAATGTGTGAGGCTCTAACTAATAACTCATGTGTGTGACACCCGGAGACTGAGGCTTTGACACCTTATAGGGCATTGTGTTCAACTTCCTCACCGGCCAACGGCGCTTGTGAGCCGAAGGAAGCTGAATATAGGCTGACGCATAGGCATTCAGACATTACACTTTTAACACACCATGACGTTGTGGGAGAGAGCAATAAGTGGCAGGGTGAAGAATGAGTACATTAACAAAATTCCAGGCCAAAAGTTGAGCGCCAGACGGGCGAGTTTAACGTTGAATGTAATACAACCTATTTCTACTCCCACTTAAAGTTGATTCAGTGTGAGGAGACCTAGGAAAAAATAGACGGTAGACGACATTATCATAATATTAGAGGGCGATGCTTCATGTTAAAGAAGTCCGAACGGTAGAACGGAGGGGAAGACCATGTGGTCAAAGAGCACCCTTTTATAGGTGATCTGAAAGACTACTTCAAGGAAGGAGTAACCGAACACCAGTTTGCTTGAGATACTTTGCAAAGCTAAGTTCAAATGGGTGTGTATTTATGCAATGGGCGCTGTTCCATTTAAAAAGGGCTAGCTACACCTCGTATTACTGCCTATTATTGAAATAATTGTTGGTATTGTGAAGACCAGCTTAGCAATGAATATTATAGTTAGCCTCTTTATGCACGGTAACTTACTGACCTTAATTTGCGCATATGTGGCTACACTAGGGACAATTACTACTGATATCTAATTTGTTATATTCTTGCAAATATAGTCGTCTTCCTCAGGAAAATGGTTCATTAGAGTACACTTAGTAAATACAACTTGCTTTAAACTGTTTTCCTGAAGTTATCTACTCCTTGAAGGTTATTATTTCTGGTTCTGAAAAAAAACTGGGAAAATGTTAGGCACGTCCGCGTGCGTATCAGTGTAGTCTGGGGCAGCTAATTTATTAGTGTTCCTTCCAAGAAGCAATTCTCAATAAAATAAGTAGCCGAGGTTACAATTGTATGCATTATTTGTAACAAAAGGTTTAGGTAATAAAAGTAGGGAATGTGGATGGAATAAATCACTGTTTAAATAGGTTTTTCTGACTTTTACACTGGCGGCAGGAGAGATGCTGTCAACGATATGAATGAGCTCGATTCAATTTACCTTGTTAATCAGCAATGCGCCTGATTGGAGCATATTTTGAGATCTCGGGCAAGTGTATCAGTATCAGTATATTTCAGGACATGTAGATGTGTTGCCTTTGAGTTCCCCATTTGTACACTTGTGTTGTGGTAGCAGAAAAATAGTATCTCCGCGACGGATGTTGAAACGTCAGGCGAATAAATGTATTGTCCCAGCGATCGAGTCGTCTTCTTCT